ATCTTTTTCCCATTGCTCTGAAAAAAAAACCAAACCCGGCGTGGGCCCACTGTCTGGGGTTGGGTCCCGAAACATTTGAGACAGGCCCATGGCTGCCATGGTAGCCATGAACTCCCGAGCCGCATCTGAGGACCACCCCAGGGATGGCAGGTTGAAGTCCCCCAGAACCATAAGCCTGGGGAACTCCACCAACAGCCCCAAGATGACCTCCAGCAGCTCAGGCAGGGAGGCTGCCACGTAGCAGGGAGGCTGGTACAACAGCAGAACTCCCAACTGTTCATGGGAACCCAACCTAATGAACAGTGTCTCACAGCCAGAAACTTGTGGAGCAATGCCCCTGAAGGCCACTAGAGATTCCAGGATCACAAGAGCCACCCCTCCTCCCCTGCCCTGGCATCTCAGCTGGTGCCACACCATGAACCCAGGTGGGCACATTTCCGAGAGGGGCACCCCCCCTCAGGCTCCAGCCAGGTCTCGGTAATGCATGCCAGGTCTGCCCCCTCCTCGGTGATCAAGTCACATATGAGGGGGGTCTTCTTGTTAACCGACCTGGCATTAAGCAGCAGCAGCCAAAGGCCAGGGCCCCTACAAACCTGCTGACCAGGGCCTGAGAATGAGCCAGGAGGGCCAGAACTTGCCACTGGCAACATACACTGGGGGCGTCTTCCCCGAAGATGGCCCGCCCTCCAGCTCCCGCCATATTGTCCCCTACCTGTCACCACCTCAATAGTGTAGTCCACGGCATAGTCCCTGGGGGTGCCAGGCCCAAATACCTCCAATCCTGGACCTCTTGGGTCCCTAATCCGGGGCAAGGGTCCCTCCTTCCAACCAGTCATCCTCATTCACACCCAAACGGTCACAGGTGAGGGAGAGTTGCCCCAGCACACCAGCTCACGCTCTTGGCACTGCCAGGACCCACCCACTGAACTTTATACTCCTACACACCCTCTGCCACCCTGCACGACCTCTCTCACTAGTCGGCAGGGTGGGCATCCCACTCACTCCCTCACACCTCCTGTCTCCCACCCAAAAGGTGGATCCTGGTATCCTCATGTACTCCCAGACTCCCTCCCCGACTCTCACTCCCAGGAGTCCCAGACTCACACTGGAGGGACCCTGCGGTTCTCCACTGGCTCTGGGGGGCAGTTAAATGGGAGTGGCTAGATTCTTAATCCCTAGTTCACTAGCCTTAAAACCAAGGGCTGTTGGCTTTGTATGCCATCCGGCTGTTCCCGTCCGGCTGTTCCTCCGGAGCCAAACGATCTTCCTCCACAGCTGGACTACAAGTCCACTATGGCCTCGGCCCCAACCCGCCCAGCGTCCTTGCGCCAAACTACCAAGCTCCTAGAACTCCAGCCACCTGTAAGTTCCCACATCCCTGGAGTTTGCTGCATTGCTCCTGGGGTCACTAAGGCACGACATGTAGCCCTGGGGTCACTGGAACTCGCAGCACTGCTCCTGGGGCCCCTAGGGCTCGCTGTGCCATGTGAGGACCTGCTGCACTTTCTGGACCTGAGGTTGGGCATGCTGCGTCTGGGGCTTTCTGGGCCCACTGGGCCTGGGGCTCGGTGTGCCGTGCCGGGGTCTGTTGCGGTTCGCCACGCCATGCTAGAAGTCACCGGGGCTTCCCATGCCACACTGGGGCTCACCATTGCACCTCCCTGGGGCCGCGTCATTTCAAGGCTCACCGAAGGCCGTGCGGCGCCGAGACTTGATGACGTCACATGATGCAGAAGAGGTTTTGTATGATAAACTGAAGAACAGTAGCTTTTCTATCCAAGTTGGTGAGTCAACCAATAAATGTCATGTTATGGCATTGGTAAGATTTGTAAACGATGGTGAAATTCAAGAAACCTTTTTCTGCTGCAAAGAACTACATGAAACATGCAGAGGCCAAGATGTATTTAAAATTTTGTCTTCATATCTGGAAACAAAAAGTCTGTCTTGGAGGAACTGTGTTGGCATCTGCACTGATGGTGCTCCATCAATGATTGGCTCCATGAAAGGTTTTGTTTCTCTTGTAAGAAAAGAAAATCCTGATGTTGTCACAACACACTGCTTTATTCACAGAGAGGTGTTAGTGTCAAAAACTCTTGAAATGAAAAAAGTTCTGGATGATGCTACAAAAATGGATAACTTTGTTAAACAAAGACCAGTTCACTTAAGAATGTTTAAAAAACTGGGTGAAAACCTGGACAAAGAACACATCTGTTACACACAGAAATATGGTGGTTCAGCAGAAGAGTTCTCAACAGGGTGTTTGAGCTGGAGGCAGAATTGCAAGAGTATTTTTGAGAAAATAGTATTCCACATTTTGCTGAGTGCTTTGAAGATGGAGAACGATTGCAGAAATTAGCACATTCAGTGGACATCTTTCTTCACTTGAACCAGCTGAACAAGTCTCTACAAGGTACTGGAGAAAACGTTTTGACTTCAAGTGACAAGAGTCTTCAATTTAAAAGAAAACAATGTTTGGAAAAATCATGTTGCAAAAGGAAATATTGAAATGTTTCCACTGCTGCTTGGGC